CTGTAAGGCACTAGGAGAAGTTTGCCTAAAGCAGGAATCGGAAGATTCTTCTGGTCTGCTGCCTCTGAAAACTTTGGTTTTCAGAATGAGCTATGGCTATAACTGAAAAACATCAGTTGATGAAAACCATCAAACAACAGATGACAGCATCTTTAGGTATTATGCATTTCTAAGTCTACTGAGTATTTCATAAGAAGCTTTGGTTCTCCGAGCTACATTGTAGTCCCTTCCAAAAATTAACTCTCCACAACCCTACACAAGCAGCAGCTATCAGGATCTTACTGATTTAAAAAAAAAAAAAAAAAAAAAAAAAAAAAAGGAAAAATAAGCTCTACATGAGATAGACTGGACTTACCAATGATTAAGTAAACTCACAATTACCACATTTTTAAATAGCAACTGGAGGACCAGGGGTACAGAAATGTTATATTTAGCTTCCCCATAAATAAGTGGGAAAATATTTCCTGTATGCTCCACCAGCAAGGCGCTCTCAAGCAAAGCATGACAGAGACTCCCAAACACATTTGCAGGATGCTACTTCCTGCTCAAACTGTTCTCCTGGGATTAAGGAGGGGAAGTCAAATGGCTTAGTTTAAAAACAAAAAGCAAGTGAAAACCTGTTTTTAAACTGTGCATTTTAGAACAATATATGCAGCATATCCTCTCTTTCTGGGTCAGTCGCTCCCTTCCAATAAAAGCATATTGTCTCCCTGAGGGTAGGGAAGACAAGTGAACTGCAAAAGCAGTCAGGGCCAGATTGCCTGCCCAGCTTCTTCACTTCTTGGGAAAAAGATGCAATAGACAAAGGCAAAACAGCACTTAAAAGAAATTGCAGATTTTTTTTTTTTAAAGAACTGTGCATAAAAATAATTTAAAAGGGCAAGTTTCAATAGATTATTTCCCAATACAGATAATGATCAAAAGTCTTTTGAAAAGCTACAAAGAGTATTAGAGCAGTTTTCCACTGTTATCATCACGATGACACAGATTCGATTTGACTAAACCTGGTGACTGAAGTTACCCAACAACTTCCAGTGCCTTAGATAATGAGGCTCACAAAGGATTTCAAGGCAGGCACCTTGTACTAGCTCTTTCTCTTTAGAATTCTTTCTTGCAGCTTGTCCCTAGACCTGACAATGTGGCTGCTGCGCCAGACTTTGCTATGGAGCGAGCAATAGTGATATTCCATGTTTGTCAGCTAGCATAAGACATCTGCAGCTTAACACCAACAGGAGATTGGGAGACGGTCCATTCCTTAGAGAGACAAGCAGCAAAAGTAACTTTAAACTGATAGGTAAAGAAGGGCAGTATTAGCAACTTCCTTGAACAACAGCACATGCATACTAACAGCCCTTTTAAAATGTTATATTTTAGTTAACAATGGTGAGTAACTTTTTTCTTCTTATTTAAACCCCCAAAGCAAAGGATATAGCAAGTTAAATTAATTCAGATGTCTTTCTGTTCACTGTTTTACAGTTGTCAAGAAACAATCCAAAGAAAATGCTTTCATTTCTTTCCACAGAAATTAAGATGCTAGAAGGATGGGAAAGCCCTATCACTTGACAAGATACTGTCCTCCAAGAGAGGGAATATAGCATAGATAATGGGAAGTAAGGTCAAAGAATCTGGGGTATGTAGAGAAAAGGCAACAGGATAAATTTTTCAAACTGCAGCAACAGAGCTCTGAGTAGTCACTGTGAACGTGGTGTTTTTATTTCACTGCTTTTGTTCATGACGGGACTACTGTACCCATCTGCTCTAATGCAGATGCATTCTTCCAGGGCCCTTCCTTCACTTTGACTCAAGTCCTCCTCATCCCAAAACAACCTTCTTTGAAGGATGAGGGGTTGAACATCTGCCCCTCTCAACTCCCCCCAGAACGGGGGGGGGGGGGTGGAGGGGGGGGGGGAAGGAAAAATCTTATTTTGTGTTATAAGATAAACAACGGCCTTGATCATCACCAAGTAGCCCCTTTCTGGCTCACTGTATCTTTACACTGTACTGTAGTACAGTCTTGCCTTCTGCCATTTTCTGCTAACATGGCATGTCAGAAGACAACTGCTCTGCTGTATAGAAGTGAAGATTGCAGTCTTATTTCTCAAAAGTGATTGCATAACCAAAGGCCAAAACAAACAGCAGAAGTCTGGACAGACAATTAAAGGAATTTTACAAGTCATCAAGTGACCAGAGGGCTGTAAATGTATAATCAACACTCTGCATGAACTACCCTGAAATGAATGCTCATGAGATGCTCTACGGCAATCAGAACAAGATAAAAACCTATAAATAAAAGCCATCCAATTTCAGAGTGATTCAGATCAGCTATTCCCCTGAATCCATAAGAGCCAATTATAACTGTTTATAGGGCATACTTAATGCAAAAATTCAGTTTGAGGGCATCAATTTCACCTTTTCTCCTTGTCCAAGAAGTTTATCTCTAAAGCAAAAAGATATCAAACAATTTAAAAGAGAATCCATTTCTGTCCTCAAAATTCTTAGTGACCTGGAAACAGAATTAGACACAGCCATATGCTTGCACACCAACATACTTCTTCCTTGCCCACAAGCTGGAAAAGCAAAGTTACAGCAGTTACCAGCTAATATTTGTTCAGAAACAGCAAGGTTTCACACAGAAAGCGAGACCCTCATGCTACTCAAAAATTACTTAGCAAGATGAGCTTTCTTTAAAGAAGTAACTTGGAGATAGAGTTACCACTTCATGTAGAAGGAAGCTACCATCAGTTTAGAACAGATTGGTTGAAACAATTTCACTTAAAACTGAAAAGAATCAAGTCCTCCTGCTGAAGTCGGCACTGATCCATAAGAAGGCATGGCAGGCTCGCAGGACCAAAGCCTTCCTAAGAACTAAAACGGTGACTGCCCTATTCAAAAGCCCTTAGCAGCCTAGGAAGGATCATCATCTGAAAGAATACCAACACTTTTTATTAAGAAAAAACAACTTTGTGACAGAGGAAACACACACAAGCTCAACAAAATTCTAGCAGAAGGATGGAGAAACAGTCAACCTCAGCTATCTAATGAGGCTAAAAGGGCAGTCAAAACCCTAAAGTGTGGTTAGGAAGTTGTAACAGGAAATGCAGAAGTACTCAAACAATAGCAGTTAAGGGCAGAATACGATGAGTATCGTTTCCACTTCAGACTGCAAGAACAGTCTGAGAAAGTAATTATGAGACCCCAAACCAGGCCAGGAAAACAATCACACGCTTATTTTTGCATGGGGCACCAAGGATTTACAAAGACCACTGGTACAGAATACACCTCCCTGCTACGAGACTGAAGAAAACGAATACAGATAAATATACTGAAAGCTGCATTCTCTGGATTTATCAGACTCTGGAAGGAGTTGTTTATATATTTAAAAACTAAGTAGTGTTCAAAAATCAGTACAGTTCCTATTTAATTTAATCTAATGATTGGGAAACAGCCTGGCTGTTCCAAATGGGAAAGCCTTACAGAATACAATTGACTGTTCATATATAACAAATATTTAACAAAGGAAGGGGTTATGCATCCAAGTCGGAGAAAGAACAAAGATGCCAAGGGAGACTTACTTATCCTCACAAGATGCCCTAAATGCAAGAAACGCATGGGAAAAGGAATAGTGCAAAGGGTAAAGAAGTGAAAAGGAAGAATCATCCTGTCAAGTAATGCATCACATAAATATTGATAGCAGAGAAATATAAGCAAAATTAATCTGCGTTGCTAAATAAACACACCTTAAGAGAGACACAGGAATGAAAGAGGGCAAAAAAAAAAAAAAAAGCGTTCTGACAGCTAAAATGCTGTCGGGGCAGGCAGGACCTGTCAAGTAGCTGATCTAGTTTCAGAAGAGGTTACCTAACACAACAAGAAATATTTTCAAAGTAGTTGGCTTTTTCATCCCCCCCATGATGGAAGCAATTGGGATTTATTCTCCCTCCCAAACATTTGTAAACCAGACATAATACCAGTGTGATAATGAATGAGATTTTTTAAGAAAAAAAGCTGAGAAGTAAGTATACAACAAGTGAAAGCAAGCTGTTTTCATTCTCATCCTTAGTTATATTAGAAACAAGCCACATAATCGGTAGGTTGCAGTTTAGGGGTGTTAACATGCAAGATTTTGCAGTAGAGTAGTACTAAAACAACAGCCCATCCCAAGTTTAAAGAGCATGGAAAGCAAGAAGTCTTTACAGCTGCCTGCCTCACTTCCTGATTAAGGGCAGCGATGAAAACATCTGCTCATTCTGCACATCTCACCCAAAGATTTGAAATCTGGCCTTTCTGTACCTGTCCTGGGCTTGGCACAGCCTCTTAAAGATTATACAGAACATTCAAAAAAAGAGGGAAGAAAACCCACAAACAACTTAGCTCTTCGCAAAGGAAGGACCACGTACTGAAGATACCCAGAGGGTACTGTCAGATTAAATCATCTTAAAACAGCCGGAACAATGTCAGTTTGCTTCCACGCACACTTCCCGCCTCTCTCCCACCACGTACAATGAAAACAAAATTAAGCCAGGCTGCTTTATTTAGCCAGTTCTGCCATGCAGCTGGGGCAGCAGCACCCTTACAGAGGGGCTGGGGCTGGGGACGGGCTCTGAGCGGGACCCTGCGGGAACCACCCGTGCTGCAGTGCCCGGCAGCCTGAAGGCTGGCCCGGCAAAGCGCAGCCCCGGCCTGCTGAGGGGGGCACCCGGGACCCCCTCCGTTTGTCACCAGGCCACAGCGACGCCAGCGCGCCGGGAGAGGGCCCCACGGGGGGATGTCGGACCTCGCTTCGCAGGGAGCGAGGGGGCAGCGGGGCCCGCCCGCCGCAGCTGCCCACACGGAGCTGTCAGGGCCCGGCGACCGGCGGGAAGGAGGCGGAGGGGGGGGGGGTGTGGGGTGTGTGTGAAGCGCCGGCGGTCTCCGCGCGCATGCGCACCGCCGCGCGCCGGACCCTAACGGCTACCAACCGCCGCGCTCCCCCTCAGCGCCCGGCGGGCGACCGGACTCACCGAGGCGCAGGGGCTGGAGGTGGCGCTGGGGGTAGGCGAGCGCTGCACCGTGACCAGAGCCATCGAGGCGCGGCGGGGGGCCCCCCCGTCCGGCTCACCGGGGGCCTGACTCCATGGCGAGTGCCGGCGGCGGGAGGGCGGGGAGGGGAGCGGAGGTGGCGCGGCGCCGGCCGCAGGGGGCAGCAGCTCCACGCGCGCCAACGGCCTCTCGCCGACTGAGGCGCGCTGGGGCTGGGCCGGCCGGGCACAATAAGGCGCCAGGGCGCATGCGCCACCTGTCAGCGTGGCCCCGCCCCCCGGGGCCGCGGCGGCGGGTTAACCACTGAGGCGCCGGCGGGCTCCCCTGCCAGCCCGGCCGCGGGGCCTGGCGTGTGAGGGGAGAGGGTGGGTCTCCGTCGTTCTTTTCTCCGGCCTCTCAGCCCGAGAGATGAGGTTTAGTAATGTGTGCCAGCTTGGCCGCGGCCACCCCCGACGCGCCTCCTGGCAGGGCGCTCTGGTGTGTAAAAGTGATGTTTTTTTGGAATCCCATCCTGCTGGGAGCCGTACCAATGTGCATGGCACCGTACTCTGAAAGCTGGCCTTATTGCTCACATACTGTAGCTTCTCCTTGGATTAGGGAGCTCTAGTAACTTTCTGTAACGAGCACTGCATATAACACCTATTTATCCATCTGTGCACAAGCCCAAACACCACAAAACTAGTCTAATAACTATACATGAGATTTTAAGCATTCAAACATCCCCAGAGTGTAATACTGCTTGACAGCTTGGGTTCTGAGACAAAGGGCCATTACTGTTAAGCTTCATTTTTTTTTTTTCTGCAGTTTTAGCCTTGTGCTACTGAATTTGTGGGAATGATGGCAAGGAGGTAGCTGGGATCAAGAATTGTCTTGAGCATCTAATGACAACACTACATGTGACAAATGGAAGCCAGTCTGAATATTAAACAGAGCTAACTCTTCTTTGTCAAGAGGACTAACCCATAGATTCCTTTTAAGCGCATGGTCCATGTTGCTTTCATCTGCTCCTCAGACTGACAGGACTGTACGGAACTCTTTTGCCCCTGTAAACATAAGTACCAGAAAAGCCACAGGGTAGCTCTTTAGGTTATTCCCCAGTCACAATAATTAGTGGGGCAGCTCTGGAAACTGGGCTTTACTGCTGGGAAGAAGTCAGGCTCACTATGGAGGCGGTTTGCCTCCTTGTGGACAAGCGAGGGTGAAGGCCGGGCTCCCTGAACTGGACTAAAGTTGAGTTTACAGAGCCCACTGCACATCAAGCCAGGGCCTTGAACATGAAAAAGAGCCCCCAGTGAGATCCGAGCACATGGGGAGAATAAGCAAAACCCATAGGTAAACAGTGTCATTGTCCTGCCTTTTACAGCCATCATGTTGTTATTTTGAAACACAATATTTATGGAAAATGTGCTAGCAGCGCACTCTGATTTATGGCACAGAGGTCAAGAAAATGCTTTCCAGACCCCTTTTAAATTAATATCCCCCAAGTTCTGAATATTCCACAGTTTCCCAATAAAATATCTTTTCCTGAACAGCCTCTTGTTCAGTCCCTCCCATTTATTTATTAAATGCCTTATCTTTTCTGTGGGCAAATCTGCAATACAGATGTGGTTTTGGTGTATCTGTACAGTTGATAGAGATTGGCAAAAACTATTCCAAATACAGACATCCTTTTGCCATTAGAGATAAAGCAAACTGCAAGCTTTGGGAGAAAAAGGTCTGCTCTGTGCTTGGGAGTTGCACATACCAGATTTTTTCACACTTTCAGATGGCACATCTAGACCAGTAAGGCTGTTAACTGTGGCTATTGAAAAAAGCTTTATCTGTAGTTTCAACAGAACTTTTTTCATGTCAATATTTGTTACTTGTTCCAGCTATATAACTAAACTGCATAAAGTATATTTTTCAGATCATATTAGTCACCTTTTTATTTAGTTCATACCCAATTCAGGGAAGAACAGATGTAAAACATTAACTAAAAATGTCATGGATCAACATCATGACAGAGCACATTGGAACCTTTTTGTTTTCAATAATTTTAAAGATTATTTAGGTTTTCTGGAATATTCATTGTAGATGCTTTTTATTATATTTTACTCAAATACGGTGTTTGTTCTCCAAACTACATTTTTGTGTCTTGTTTCCTGTGAGACTGAAAAAGTGCTTTGTCTCCTGGCAAAGCATTTATTTGAGGTAAAAATGATCCTGTATCACTTAGTAGTCCCTTTGAGAAGGTTTTGGGAACATAAGAAGCATGGACTCAAGTGCTTGGCTATATCTTGGCTATACAAAGCATCATGAAGCTTAGCAGAGAGATTCTTAGTGGTTACCAACCACAAATAGGTGGTAGCCAGATGCAAGGCCATGCTGCTGTGAAGTTTTTGCCATGATTTTCAGTGGAAGCCCGAGACATATCTGAGGAGGGGAAAGTTTTTTCTTCTCTGGCATATGACAGGAATCTTAATGTTATTCACCTTTCTTTAAAGTGTAATATCTAGGTTGTTGGTTTGTTTCATGCAAATGGATTCCTGCAAATACAGGGCTGCTTCAAGGCATGTAGCTTCTCTTCAGATATGTCTGCACCGATACAGAGGATAGGTGGAAGAATACAAGTTCTCAGAGTATTCTACCAGTTCCCTCACCTGGGACTGGTGTTCCATTCTGGATTTTGAGCAACAGTCATGCAGGGATTACCAGCTTCCAAAATAGACTTTTGTGTGTTTTTCATATATTGTGTAGCTCTTCCAGCTATTTGAACATCAAACATCTTTAAAAAACATTTACCACAAGTAAATAATGGAGTGGCTATCTACAGTTAGCTAAAGGCATAACATATCAGTAACTACAATAATCACAGATTGCAATGGTTCTCCAAGCCATTAGAAAGATATAATTTGCATGTGCAATGTTTTTTAGCAGCAGAATTTAAATGTGGAGGAGGAAGCTATAAGGCAGATGTATTCCCAATTGAAAAGAGCAATTAGAGGACAGCCTGTGGTCACAGCATCATGGTTGGTACAAAAAAGAGACTAGACACCCGTGGCCTTATTCTTTCCTGTGCTGAAAGCACCGTGGTCAGCACCTGTAGCTTTAGACCAATATATAATTTAAAGGATGTGAAGCTATACATGAGCTGGTTTTGTATGCATTTCCAAAACTGACTATTTTCTTTAAAACACTGCAAATATTTCTCCAGCTAACACAACCTCTTATTACTACATGTCAGGGCTTTTATTGCATAATCTTGGCATCAGCTGCAAAAGGCAACTGAGTGCTCCCAAAATGTATTTTACACAGAAAAATAAAAAAAAAGAAGAGGCAATTCCAGCAAAACATCTGTGATGACATATTCAGACCATTATTTTGTCAACAGTGCAAGTATTTGATGGCATAACAAAAGGATACACTTTGCTTAGCAAAAACATTAAGGGATAACAGCCAAGTTAAATAGGATGCAATTAAAGGTTTGCTTAACCCACAGGATTCCACTTCCAGAAAAATAAAAATGGAGCCATTTTGATCCCTCCTTACAAGTTCTATTTGTATGTTCTTGTTTGGGGGTTAAAAAATCACTTTAAGAAATAGGAGAGTACTTTTTAAAATTTATGTTTCATGCTGAAAAAATAAAGTTTTGTAAATTAATCATAATAGAAACAGAATTCTGAATTGCAAAGGGGAAAAATTAAGCCCACCTGGGAGAAGAGATAACAGGAGTTAATCATGTGCAAACTGCTTTGAGAAAAAAAGTGCACAACCCAGTTTAAAGCCTCATTTTAAATTATTCCTGTGCACTAATTTTCCGCTTCATTATATTGACATAATTGATGCTATACTTCAATACATCTTGGAAATACCTTGCAATGAGCATATTTCCATCTGATACATGCTTTTTCAAATAAATAGCAAAGAAATTGCTACAGCATATTTTTCACATGAACGTTGACTTCTGTGTGTTTTGTGGTTTTTTTTGTGGTATGTTTCCTCTCTTCAAGCAAATACTGAATTCTAAAATCAAGTCAGTATTGTAGTGTCTACAGCATATTGCTACACTGGTAAACCTGGTATTCCAGTGGTGGTTAAGAGTGTTCAGGGTTCCCATTTTTTCAGAGAGATGCTTAGCGCAGATGGCCAAAGGTATCTATAACAGTTACAACCACACACATTTTTCTGATATGTACAGAAGTACATAGAGGAAAATAAATGTTGCTCAGTACAAACACCAGGATTTTCTATAGCCTCCTACTTTCCAGAAAAGACAGTATCAAAATAAAATTTGAAGCTTTTGACTGTCCACTAAAGTACAATTGTTATTGTAATTTCTGAGCAAATTTTCTCCTTGTGAAAAAGCTGTACACAGTGTGCACACTTTCTAACTCCTCTGCAAGGCTTTAGGAACAAAACTAAACCTTTTTTTTAATGGCAGCATAAGTGTTGTACTTATGTTGGAACTCTGGATACATGTCACTTAGAGCTATTTCCCATTTCAGAGTTTTACAAATTAATTATTATTTACCTTGGTGTTGCGGGCACTGTAATAAATAACAAGTGACTTGATGAAGATGATATAGAATTAAATTTTTGAGCCCGCAATTAAAACTTCAGAGTTCCTAAACTAGAGAACAGATGTGACTCTGACAGTAACTGTATCATATGTTGGAAAAAATCTGTTATTTATATTAAACCTCCTCTATTTCAAGTTTTGTAACAAGCTCAGCTGTCCCATAAAATGGAGACTAATACTCTGCTAGGGGGTAGGGTACCATGCAGCTGTTCCAGTGACAAATACTGTCACAGTTCAGTTTTCCTGCAGGTAGAGAATCCAAGGATCATGCCCCTTCCAGTGCAAAATATAAAGAAAGAAACAGCATTAGTTAAACTTTGTTTCCTGGCAGAAATTGCCATAATTTTAGCAGTTGGAAGTCCTGCATAACACTAAGGTAATCACTGGACAAGCACCTGATCTACATTAGTGTAAATGAGTGCAGAATGGCTTTTGTAGATGTTTTTGTCTTTTCCCTTCTCTTTTTCCTGTGTTTCATATTATTCTTCAAGAATATAAGAGAAATTATTAAAGGTGATTCATCAGATTCCTTTAGATTCAGGTTTAAAGGCAGTCTAACAAAATGGCACTATAAACTCCCCTCTTACTAGTGCTGTATGTGCCTTTCCTGCAAAGCTACTTCAAAGCAACACAGTTCTTTACAAAAAAGAAAGGC